GATCTGATATTATTTACCATTCACCATGCTTGCTTTGATGGAGCATCGACATCAATCTTCCTTCGTGATCTTTCTCTTGCTTATCAATCTAATGACTTGCTTCCTATAGATGATAATTCATTAGAATACATTGACTATTCTATTCATGAACACATAATGGATATAACATTATCTCAACAGTTTTGGTTATCAGAACTCAAAGGATGTAATCTCACACGCCAGTTACCATTACCTATTGACCGACAACGCTCATCAAATGATCAACGATCAGGTTTAGCCTCTACATCTCAAATCACTTTTGATGATGAAATATGCATATCATTTCTTAACTATGCATCATCACATCATCTCACACCTTTTCAACTTGGATTATCCATATTTTATGTGTTTCTATTCAAATTAACTCATAATCAAACAGATTTATGTATTTCTTCTATTAATGCTAATCGATATCGAAGTGAATTAGTGGATATGATAGGAATGTTTGTATCAACATTACCCTATCGTGTTGAACTTGATCCTCATTGGTCATTCGATGAAGTAGTTAGATATGTACAAGAAAAATGTTTATCAATTCTTGAACATTCTCATTATCCACTTCAACATATTCTTACTGATTTCCATGTTAATCAATCCAATGCATCATTTATTGAAACAATGTTTGATTTTATCAATATATCAAACGAAGGTAATGATTTATGCTTGAATAGTGTGAATCTACAACAAGTGTTGTTAAATGAATCATATGAAATAGCTAAATTTGACTTTTCATTAAATTTTATATACAATTCATCATCAGATTATAATCAGTTGTCTTGTTCTTTTGTTTGCTCAAGTGGTTTATTTGATGAGACAACTATTTCACAAATAGCTCAAAGATTTCAGTACATGTTTGAAAAACTGTTTCAAACACAATCAAGCAACATTCCTGTGATGCACTTGAGTTCATCGATTAGCAAACTGTCTCTTATTCTTCCTGATGAAGCTGAAGAAATGAAATTAGTCGTGTTTCATCGATTGGAGAATATTGTCAATGAAGGTATGAATATCTATTTTTTCTTTGATTATAGACCGAAAAAATAAAGATTTCTATGTGCTTTTTTGGCATTACCAGAGGAACTAACTAAATCATGCATTCAATCATACACATATAAATTTCCGTAGAACAGGTTTTCTGTTTCAAAAGATCATTGTGAGTTTACAAGTTGATATATATTACATCCATTACGCGAGCGATTATTTATATTGTACTAATAGTAACAATCATAAGAAATATCATATAATATCAACTGAGAAGGTTTTTAGAAAATGGGAATTCCAAATGAATGTTGGAATAGTATAGTCGCGGTATCCTGATTTTGAAATAGTATGCACATCTTACAAATGAGAAAGATCTTTGTAGATAATGGGTTTTGCTGTTCGGTTAGATAATTTTTTTCTTGAAATAAGAGAATCAGTTGAAAATATGGTGAAAACTAACGTCTTCTTTATGTTACAACATAAAATTCCATCTTTCTATCAGACATTAACTGCATTCTTCATTTCCTCATAGTTAAGTAGTTTCACAGTTAGGAAACTAATACAATATTTTCAATAAGAATACTTTTAAAACTATTTCGAATAATTATGCAAAGTCACAACAGCACTCTAACGATTCAACGGGTTTCTTTAAGATTTGCACCTCTATTTTCAGTTTAATCTTCAAAACCAGCTTGTTTTTGATCAGTGGATCCTGCAGAGAATATGCTGCTAAATGAAAACATAGGACTGGGAAAGTGTTAGCTAGTTTTGAGCTTTTCATTATTTAAAAGACGAAATGTAAAAATAGTGCATGTTTTCACACAGAGATAGGTACACTAAAGTGATATATATCGTGTATCACAGCACATATTCATTTCACTTGCACACAAAGAAAGTTACTAGAGATGAGAAGACAAGAGAAGAAATTAAGGCCTGTGATGTGATACCTTTGCGCCACCGCTAACAAAGTGATTAACACAGAATTACTTCAAATAGTACATGAATACATCATACCACTAACGACACCATCCACAAATACATTATTTAAAACGCTTGTCTTTCTGTTAGAAAAATAAGTTCATAATTTGGCATTAGTATTGAACTTATATTAACATAATACAAATCCTGATAAATCTCATAACATATATATTTTCTTTCAGTTTGCTCACAAGCCTTGTAAATATTCAGCAGTTCTATACTCTCATCAGAATCATCGTTTTCAGCGGAAGTATATTCGACACTAATACCAAAATCTTGAAATACTTTCTAGTATTACAGAAAAAACATTAAAAGAAGTTTGAATTAATACAATTCTCATACTAACCCAACATTATCAATCAACTGTTTTGTTAGTTAAAATACCAATCATACGAAAAGTCTCTAAAGCACTGATATCAGTTATCATTTAATCATTATTCTCTTGAATTATAATCTAAAAATCTCTCATTAATGTAGCACCAGCATCATTTGCACAAGCTCTACAATCGTATAATGAATCGATTCATTACACTCCTCACATATCACAAGTACCAATCTACAACATACCTTTTGTTTATTCTCTCGACTCACATCATACTTTATCAGTACAACATCTTCGTCACGCTCTTCAACTAATCGTTACAAAACATCAAACTTTTCGAACATCACTCATCTTTCATACAGAAAACGGTGGACTCATGCAACGAATCGTAGACCTCAGCCACAGTAGTAATTCATTACTTACATTTATTGAAAGCACTTATACAACACATGAACAACTAAATCATATCATACATGAAGAAAGACATAATCCTCATCTTTTTGATCTTGCTCAAGGTCTTGTCTTTCGATGTCATATTGTTTATTATAAGCAAATCTCTTCGGATCAACTTCTTTCTGACAAAGATCTACTTATCTTCAACTTTCATCATGCTTTGTTTGACTTTTCATCAATGAATATATTTCTTCATGATCTCAATCAAGCATATACAACAGGTCAACTATTATATGATGATAACACTAATCTGCGTTATCTTGATTGTAAATATAATTAGTTCTTGTATTTTTTTCTTTTTTGTAATACGTTATTTTCTTTGATTATATAGATGCTGTTATTGAACAAGAAATGTCGATGACTGGTGCAAGTATGTTTTGGCTAGATGTTCTTCATGATTGTAAACTTGATCAACCTTTATCGTTACCATTTGATCGATACCGTCTTGCAAATGAACATCCAACTGGTCATACAACATCTATTTCTTTTGATTTTGGCCAAGATCTCTTACATGCCTTTCTTACTCACGCATCATCAAATATCATATCATTTGAACATCTCACATTTGCTATTTATTTCATCTTTCTATTTAAACTAACTAATGGACAAACAGATATATGTATTGCTATGAAAGTCAACAACAATCGATATAGAAATGAACTCAAATCAATCATTGGACTGTTTGAGAATGTCATTCCATTACGATGTCAATTAGATCCTCATTGGTCTTTTCCTCAATTACTCGAACATGTTCGAGAGATAACAACAGAGAGTATGAAATATTCATATTTTCCACTTCAACGTATTCTCAATCAACATCCACATATTTCCAAACATGCATTTCTCGATACATCTCTGGAATTTATATCATACAAGAGCAACAATGACAATAATGCATTGATGATTGGTGATTCTCGACTTGTGCCAGCATCTTTCTCATTCAAGATTAACGGAGATGAGATGTTAAGTACATCCGATTTCTCTCTTTCTATTTATCATGATATGAACATGAATCAACTATCATGCACAATCAATGCATCACTCGATTTCTTCAATAGAGATACAATAGAGAAGATTTCACAACGATTTCATTTCATCTCAAATCAGTTATTTGCATCTACTATCGAGAGTCATTCAAACAAACCTATCTTTGAATTCTCATTAACATTATCAAATGAACAATATCAAATACAATCGATGAATAACACACAAATATCGTTTTCATCTCCTCTCACTTGTATTCATCATGAGTTTGTACATCAAGCAATGCAACATCCACAAAAACTAGCTGTTGAACTAGATGAACAATCATTAACATACTATGAACTTCTATACTATGTTCAAGTCGTATCTTTAACTCTTCTTAATGAATATCATTTGTTGGTAGGTGAGGTCGTATGTCAATGTGTTGAGCGAAGTTTGTCAATGGTAAGTTAATTAAGATGAGTAAGAATTCATGTGAGTTTGAGATTGATTTTCTGTAGGTGATTGGTATTATGGGAATTGAAATGGCTGGTAGTGTTTATTGTCCCTTATCACCGCGGGACCCACAACATCGTTTGCATGCACT